CCTCGCCCTCTCCCTTCCTCTCTGAAATCAGTAAAAACATATTAAAAAAAGATTGTCAGAGGTCCAAGGCGACCTTACCACTGAATTCAAAGTCCTCATTTTATTTCTAGCCAAAAATAAGCATCTGGGCTTTGGAATCTGGTCTGGGACCAATGCGACAATGATTTTTACCGTCATTCACTAGAGCTCATCTGAATCAGTCAGAAAACACAAGGGTGGGGGGATCTCAGAGACGCTGGGAGCTCTCCAAGCTGCTGGTGTTGAGGAGCTGGGAGGAGATGCTCGCCTTGCCAGCAGTCTGTGGGTTTGGCAGGTGACACCAGACTTGTCTATGCTGGACGGCTGGGTGGTGAGGGGGAGTGTTTGGTAGCAAAGGGAGAGCAGAAAGAAGGATCCAGGCTTAGGACAGAGAGAAGAGGGCCAGGTTTCTCCCTGCTCCTTGTCCTCCTCCCGAGGGCCTGGGCCTCCTGCAGGTCAGGGCTGTGCCTGGCCCAGGACAAGGCAGGAGTGTCCGTGGGGACTATATGGAGTTCATGTCCCATGAGGAAGGCCTGATATTTCAGGGTTATTTAGAATAACATTTATTTTTTCTCTAAAAAGCCATGAGGAGTTCAGATCTGGCTGGAAACGGGTTCGCATGTTTGTTTTCCTCATTGTCTCAGTGGAAAAAAGGGTGGGTGACTCAGACGGCAGCCTCCGCCTCTGGGCTGGGGCCCGGGTCGGTCTCCACTCTGTTCTTTGCTCCTCTAGGGACCTGTGTCAGCTGGGGGAGAAGCTGCATATTACCTCCCACATTCGCTCCGAGCTTCCAACAAGGGTCTCCCCAGGAGGTGAGAGATCTAAGATCAGTTTTAAATAAGCAAATGGTAGGGAAAGAAACAAGAAAGGGGAAGGTCCCCCCAGGGATGAGAAGAGAGAAAGGGCAAGGTCTCCAAGGAAGGCCTCCTTCCTCCCCGCCCTCCTCACGCCCAGTCTCTCCCCTGGCTCTCCCACTCGCTGCACCGGGGGCCGGGCCAAGGTCACCAGAAGGCATCTGTGGGCACGGCCTGGCTCCATCCCAGTCATCCCTGCGGTCAGAAGTCCAGCTGGAATAAGGGGTCCTGACCTCTAAGCACCAAGCATTCTCTCTGGAGGGGAAGGAGCTGTGTGAAGACCTCCGATAACATTCTTCCACGGGAGGTTCAAGATTTCCCCCAAAGCATTCCTATGGATATCGCCCGATCCCAGATGGGGCCCAGGAGCTAAAAGAACTCTGCTGTTGAGTTACTCAGGAGACTCAGGGAATTCTAGAAGTTTAAATATTTACAAAATATTTAAGGGAGGGGAGGGACGAAAGCCTCACCAAGCATTTTAGGAGAGAAAAGGTGGGGAAGAGATAAAAACAGTCTGTTGAACTCTGCAAAGTCTTTGTGTCATAGAATTTGACACATGACTACTGTGAAATCCCTGCCAGGGAGCTGGAGAAGAAGGGAAAAAAGGCAAATAGGAGACTGAACATGGTGGGGCTCTGGCCTTCTTTCAAAACCTTCAAGAGCTCCAACCGGGGATCTGGTGCCTAATATCCCCACACTCTGGTTTGAGGTTTGGGCCTGCTTTAAGCTGGGTCCTGCTCTCCTGCTCATGTGGCCTTCAGAGGTTAATGCTAATGTACAGACAGCACCCTACTGCCCTCATGGTCAGTTCTCGGTGATTTAGAAACGTCCTGCTTCTCCTCGCTGGCTATTCTGTGACGGACAAGCAGCCATGGTAAACAGGTGTGGGCAAAGGGGGTTAGGACACATGGGCAAGAGTCAGAGCATAGCCCCAGGATGGAGTGAAAGGGCCTGGGTTCTAGGTCTGGCGACAATGCCTCATGACTCTGTCGCTTCGGGCCTTTAAACCTCGGCTTCCTCACTTGTGCAACAGGAATAATGCTAGCAGCTCCGCCTATCGTAATTTGTTTCTTTATCCTCAAAGGAGACTGCCTGACTGTTCTGCAGAGTGTCATATTCTCTATAAACACCAGATACTTCAATCACGTCCTATTCCTCTTGACCTCCCAAAGTAAAAAATCACCATTATCAACACAACCGCTACATGGGGAGCAGGCCACAAGCTGCCGCGCTCCCCTGTGCACCTGTACACCTTCCCATCTTCCTCCAACAACGTTGGGAGGGAGCATCATCCCCACTGCACAGGTGACAAAGCCCCAGACACACAGAGGTATTTATTCAACATCGTGGAGCAAATAAATGGCAGGGCTGGGACTCCGGGGCAGCCGGCCTGCCTTTCAGGGTCCACGTGAGGGCGGCTGTGCAGGCCCTGGAAGAAGGAGGGGCTGAGAGGACTCAAAGGGATGCCAGCTTTCCCAACAGTGGACGACTCCTGAGCCCATGAATAATTCACCAGAGCACTGTGCTGAGAGCTGGCTCTTTTGTGTGTGGCACATCTGGTCAGGGACAGCTGCCCACGTCTGGGCCACAAATGTGCGGGCTGGACCTGCCTGCTCAGAAGCACAGCTCAGAGCAGCTTTCTGCTCCATTCGCAGGGGGCTGAGAGCTATTCTGATTCCCAGAGGAAGGCGGGGTTCTTATATGTGCTTTTATGCATGTGTGCGCACGCACATGACAAAGAAACAAACAGACAAAAAAACCTCCACATGTGCGATATGAAATCGAGACATTCATCCTTGGACTTGCTTTCCCTCCATGAGCCTCATCCCTGGTTTCCTTTTGGGAAGGGCTCTCTCTTATCAGGAGGTTGTGTTCTCCACCCTATGTCGACAGTCAGACTTGGTGTTACTCCTGGTCTGGTCTTGTTCCTAGACAGGTTTCATTCCAGGCATTTCTGGCTGGAATATGTGAGGAACTGGAGGGTGGCAGCAGACAGCAGAAGCTGAGAATGGCAAGAAAGATTATAAAAAAGACTCCATCTGCCACAGAACCTCTTCCAGCTGAAAGTGAAAAACAGAAGTTGTTTTTCTTTTTTCTTTTTTTTTTCCTATAGGTCCTATTGCAACTCTTAAAATAAGAAAAAGAAAAGGGAATATTAGCTTTAAGGAGGGTCCGTATAGGAAGAAGTCTGTACAGGCCCAAGCAGCAGGCAGGGCTGTTGCATGGCACAGCTGCTGGGGGGTATCTCTGCAGTGAACCCCATGGGGTATCTTTGTGGATGGCCCTGTGGGAGATGAGAAACTTGAGGTGCACAGGCAGTGGGGCTACGGTCTGTCCTGTACCCACGGAGAAGCAGAAGCACTGGATAATGATGATTTATCTCTGTTCTGCAAGAGGAAACCGAGGCTTCAAGTGACTCACATAATCACATTGCTGTGATTTAAACTCAGACACCCTCACTCCAGCCCACGCACTCACCAATAGAGCCTGATGACTGCATGGAAGCCTAGAATGACAGAATTCTTGGAATACCCCAGCCCTGAAATGTGAGCAATACGGGCTGGTGAGGCAGGAACCTAAGCCAGCTACACCCCTGGTGGAAGGGGCCAGGGAGTGCTTCCATCAAAGTGTCCAAAGAGGCAAAAATACCTGGGCTTGGTTCTGCCAGACGGTCATATTTCAGGAGGTTAGGGAGAAAGAGACAACATTTATAATAATAAAAGCGTAATGTGCTAATTAGACCAGACGACCTCTGGATGAAGCCAGGGGCGGCGAGGGAAGCCCAGGTCCTGGGTGGCAGAGGGAAGCCGGTGCCGGCAGCTGGCAGCCGGGGGAAGGAAGGCCTACTTTTGCACTAATTTTGTGCATTGGGCCTCTAGTATTATAATGGAAAGTCAGACCTGGGTTAGGTTAGAATCTTGGCTCAGTCATTTCTAGCTGTGCAGCCTTAGGTCAAAATCATTGCTACTTGGAATGAAGTTTTTAAAAGACAGGAATGCCTCAGAGATTCTTAGTTAGCTGATTTGCCATGGGTTCTCAGCATCAATGACTTTTATATGCTTCTCTATAAATATATTTTTTATTGATTTCAGAGAAGAAGGGAGAGGGAGAGAGACAGAAACATTAATGATGAGAGAGAATCATTGATTGGCTGCTTCTTGCATGGCCACCGCCCCCCCCCCCCCCCCCCCCCCCCCCGCCCCTGGGATCGAGCCCTCAACCGGGGAATGTGCCCTGACTGGGAATGGAACCATGACCTCCTAGTTCATAGGTCAATGCTCAACCACTGAACCACACCAGTTGGGCAACATGCTTCTCTTTAATTGATGTGCAACCAGGTTTAAGAACTACTGATTTAGGCTCTCCACCTGCCTCAGAAAAAAAAAACCGCCCTGCTCAATCATCCTACAGTTGGAGATGAGTCCAAACAAATGTCAAAGAGAATTTCTGCAATTTAAAACTCATTTCAAAAAGCTGAGCTATTCCTTCTGAAGGTTAACAAAACCCAAATGTAAGTCAGCATTCCCCTTCTCACCTGTCCCCTCCCAAATGCATAGAAATGAACATTGGATTATACATCAACAATAATGCCCCCATCCTCCCGTCTCCCCCCGCCGCCCCCCCCCCCCAAAAAAAATTGGCAAGTGTAGCTGTGTAGGATGGTGTGAAATAGATTGACTAGACAAACAGAGGTGGAACAGAAAAAAGATCAAGGTGAGAGCTGCCATATGGGATGGTGGATAGGTAACAGGGCACAGAGTGCTAGAGAGTGAGGGAAGGGGAGAAAGGCACAGGGCTGAGAAATGGGGTGGCACTGAGGTACCTGAACACATTACCGTTAGCACAAAGTACCTTTAGCTTCATCACAACCCCAACAGATCTCAGTTTCCCATTTGAGTGTCATCAGGGCCAGGGGTCCCTCTAATATTTGGTAACCCCTTCACACTCTTACCCTTTGCCTATTACTCCTCTGTTGAAGAGGAGCTTTTAGCTACAGCCTGCTCTCCTTATTCAAGGAACCTGAAAGCCCTGTCACAGCCCCAACCGCCAAGCCCCCAGCTGCCCTAACCGTCAAGCCCCCAACCACCAAGCACCTTGCCCTTTGGAGCAAGGTCTGTGCTTTCTTACCTGCGCTCTCCTCAGCCTGACTGAAGCCGCAGATCTGACAGATGCTCTGGACCCATTTGTTCATGTCCTCCTCGGTCTCAGCCACCAGGTAAAAGGTGCGCTCGCTGGTCTTGATGTCAAACACAAAGCTATCCTGCAGCTCCTTCTTGTTGAATGTCAGGCCTGCGTCCACCTGCTCACAGAAGTTGAGGTTGATGATCCGCAGGGGCTTCTTGGAGTGGTCATTCTTGTAGTATTCCAGGACGTCGGGGTCACCGCTCATCCGGCCACTCCGCAGGATAAACCAGCGTTTCTTCCAGGCCTGAAGGGGAAGGAGTAAGAGGAGGGGGAAAAGGTCATCAGTTGTTTCAAAGCTTTTCACGGGTCCCCATATTATTGCGAGGTTAAGAGTAGGCACTGGTGCACCTATAGGCTGAACATGGGCTCTCTCTCCCATTTTGCCCCAGAATTTCAGAAAGAAGGGATAATTTTGGAAGGCATTTCACTATGGAAACAGTTTTATCACCATGAAGTGAATCGTGGCATTCCCACTTTTTAGATCAGGAAGTTAGATGTGGACTAAAACACTTTAGAGCAATTATTCCATTAGGCTAGACCAGTGATGGCGAACCCTTTGAGCTCGGCATGTCAGCATTTTGAAAAACCCTAACTTAACTCTGGTGCCGTGTCACATATAGAAATTTTTTGATATTTGCAACCATAGTAAAACAAAGCCTTATATTTTTGATATTTATTTTATATATTTAGATGCCATTTAACAAAGAAAAATCAACCAAAAAAATGAGTTCGCGTGTCACCTCTGACACGTGTGTCATAGGTTTGCCATCCCTGGGCTAGAATACAGACTCAAACTCATAGTACTTTCACTCACAGGGTGAGCTTGGAAACCATAACATCTCAGTTTATGGACGGGGACCCCCCCCTAAGATATGGTGCGCTGAAGCAACAATGCCACACCCAGCAAAGAGAAGAAAGCAAGTTTCCTAACTTTCTGTACATTGTACATTGTGTTTTTCAACAAATCACGATGCCTTGAAAGAATCACAGAGAAACTCTTCTAAAACGTCTCTGAAGCACATAATTTTAGGATTTTTCTGCTTGTCGCCTTCACTGCTATATCCCCAGCACTTATAAATCAGAACATCTCATTTCTGTGCGTAGAGCCTCCAATGCCTTTTCATCTCACTCAGAGTAAGAGCCACCTCACTGTGGCCAAGGGGGAGGGGGGTCCCTCATCCCATATCTCTCACCTCATCTCCTGCCATTCTCAGCCCATTCTGCTCTGGCCACTCTGGCCTTAAACAGGGGCCACACACTCCAACCTCAGGGTCTTTGCTGTGCTTGCTCCCTCTGCCTGTAATAATCCTCGCTCAGATATTCCCATTGCGTATTCTTTCCTTCAAGTCTCTATTCAAATGTCACGTTATCAAAGAGGCCATTTCTGACCACCAAAGCCTCACACTCTCTTTCTCCGCTGTACTGGTCTCCTAGCACTTACACCGCCTCAAATACCATATTTATGTTGAGTGTCCGCATCCACCTCCCAGAATGTAAACTCCATGAGGGCAAGGTTGGTTCTCTCTTATCCCATGCCATAGCCTCAGTGTTTAGAATAGTGCCTGGCACATAACTGGTTACTGATAACTACGTATTTAATTAATGAGTGAATCATTTTCTTACATGAATTCCTCACTGCACTAGTAGGTCATGGGGACAGAACTGATGCCTAATAAGCCTTATTAGACATAAATGAGGGTTAGGGTATAGGTAAGAAAATAAACATAAATACTATTTATTTACAATCATCTGAAGTCTTGCCAGGTCACTGCTTATAGAACTCCATGTGTGCTGTGTGTACGCATGCCGCAGGGAACACATACACGTGCACATGTGTGGGTCAGGTGCATTTAAAAAAATATTGTCAATAGTTTAGCTTGTATTTAGTTGATGTGTGCCCTTCAGGGCTAGTCTCTGCAGAAAGAGCTGTCTCTGAATCTCTGGAGTGCAGGTGTCAGCATAACCACACACAGACGCCCTTGACAACAAGAAAAAGGTGTTTGCTACAGATAGCATCGAGGCCTGTCAGGTTCAGCTTCCAAGGAAGCAGTGTAGGCTGACAAATGGCTGCCTATGAAATGCTGATAAATGTATGACAGAGCAGGCAAGGCTGTCTGGTCCAGTCCCAAATCCCAATCCCTCTTCTGCCACAACACCTCTTCAAGTCCATGCTGTTTTTTTTGAAATCAAACAATTCAGAACAAAGCAACTTCAAAGAGTCTAGCTCAGTGATGGCGAACCTTTTGAGCTCGGCGTGTCAGCATTCTGAAAAACTCTAACTTAACTCTGGTGCCGTGTCACATATGGAAATTTTTTGATATTTGCAACCATAGTAAAACAAAGACCTATATTTTTGATATTTATTTTACATATTTAAATACCATTTAACAAAGAAAAATCAACCAAAAAAATGAGTTCACGTGTCACCTCTGACATGCGTGCCATAGGTTCACCATCACTGGCTAGCTCAACTTCTCTGATCCCCTCAGGTGAAATGAAGCTTTACTTCCTCTGAACCTTAATAAAACTTTTAAAAATAATCCTCACCCGAGGATATATTTTCATTGATTTTTTAGAGAGAGGAAGGGGGATGGGGAGAGAGAGAAACACTGATGGGAGAAACATCAATCAGCTGCCTCCTGTACGCGCCCAACCAGCAAATCTAACCCACAACCTAGGTATGTTCCCTGACTGGGAATTGAACCCACAACCTTTTGGTGTATGGGATGATGCTCCAACCAACTGAGCCACCCAGCCAAGGCAATAACACTTTTCATGTACTTCTCATGGCATGTCATTTTTTACAACCTATTACAGGTATTTTTGTATTTGTTGTTTCTTCACAAGTAGACCATGAACAACATCTCCTATTCCTGAACCTTTCTGATCTCTCTGGCCTCATTTATGTATAATTCATCCCTCCTTCCCTCCCTCCCTCCCTCCCTCCCTCCCTTCCAGCTAGCCATCCAACAAATATTTATTTAGTGCTTACTATGCAATAGGTATTAGTCCAGATGCTGAGGATATAGCATGAATTCCAGATCTTACAGGAATTCTTATTATATATTATTCTCCAAATGTGCCACATAGAATTAAATACGATAAATAATAACTATATACCATGACCAAATGGGGTTTATTTCAAGGATGTAAAACTGATTCAACATTCAAAAATCAATCAGTATAATTCATCATATTAATAAGGTTAAAGGAGAAAAACCATGTGGTTATATCAATCAATGAAAAAAACATTTGACAAAACTCAACACCCATTCATGATAAAAACTCTAAAAAAAAAAAAAAAATACTGACACAGGCAAAATCCTGAATGAATCTCCAGAGAATTATGCTAAGTGAACAGTCAATCCTGAAGGGTTATACAACTCCACTTATATAACATCCTTGACAAAATTTAGGGATGGACAGCAGATTAATGGTTGTCAGTGGTTAAGAAGGGGGCTTGATTCCAGTCAGGGCACATACTCAGGTTTTGGGGCTGTGATCTCCGCAAATTGTTTAACCTCCAGGATATGTTTTTATTGATTTTAGAAGAAAAAACAAACATATCTTCATGACTTTGGGGTAGGCAAAGATTTCCTGAATACACAAAAGGCACTAATACAAGAGAACAAGTAACCAATCGTACCACATTAAATGTAACCTCTGATTATCAAAAGGCACCATTAAGAGAAGGAAAACCCAAGCCAAGACAGTGAGAAGAGATACTTGCAATGCACATGACTGATGAAGGACTCATATTCAGAACATATCAAAAAACTCCTACAAATTGGCAAGGAAAAGGCAGACCACTCAACAGAAAAATCAGCAAAAGATTTCATTAGGCACCACACAAAAGAAGACACCCAAATGGCAATAAGCATATAAAAGATCTCATCTCCATTCGCCATCAGGGAAGTACAAATTAACACCACCACACAACCACAAGAAAGGCGACAATGAAAAAGACTGACAATAGTAAGTACTGGGAAGGATGTGGAGAAACTGGAAAACTCATACTCTGTTAGTAGATGTGTCAGTTGGTATAATCATTTTGAAAAACTTAGGCAGTATCTACTAAAGCTGAACATTCATGCCAGCCCCCCACAATGCACTCCTGGGTACATACCCCAAATGACTGTGTACAAACATTCACCAAAATAAACGTCCAAGTACATTTGTCACCACACTGGTCATAATAGCCTATATCATGCCTGCCTGTCTACACTCTCTATTTCAAGTGCTTGTTACTTATAGTCCGGACTACTGTCATGGCTTCCTAACCAGTTTCCCTAATTTAATATATCTAAATGCTTCCAGTTTAATCAGAGCAAAAAAGTTCTGATCCTTTTACTCTCCCAACTATTTAAAAATGTAATGGCTCTCCATCATCCGAATAGCAAACTCCAAATTCTATGGTTTAGTTTTTGTTTTTGTTTTTTTAATTACAAATCATTTCCAATGCAGTAAGACAGACATAACATAAAATTTACCCATTTAAGTGTGTAGTTCTGTGGTATTAAGTACATTCGCATTCATATTGTTGTACAACCATCAACACCATTTTTTTCCAACTGAAATTCTGTATCCATTAAACACTAACTCCCTCCCTTCTTTCCCCCATGCCAGCCCCTGCAATCCACCATTCTACTTTCTGTCTGTCTGATCTTGACTACTCATGTAGGTGAAATAATACAATATTTGTTCTTTTGTGACTGGCTTATTTCATTAGCATGATGTCTACAACGTTACTCCATGTGGTAGTATGTGTCAAATTTCATTCCATTTTGATTATCCCTTTTATCTGCTGATGGACTCTTGGATTCTATGGCTCAGATTTAAGGCTTTCACAATCTAGTTCAAATCCACCCTTCCATCTCATCTCTACTCACATATACATGGTATATATTCAAACCAAGTTGCTGCTATTTAAACCAAGTAGAATTTTCACTATTTCTAATACATGCCTGGTCTTTTCCACCTCCACATACTCAATTTCCCTCCCAATCTTCCTTCCTTTCTAAATTCTCTAAAGTTTTGCTTATACTTGAAAGCTATCCTGCCATTTGAGACAGGCCAGTGAGCCAGGACAAGTAGAATAGGGAAACTGAGGCAGCTAACAAACTGGCAGAGCAGTTTACAGTAGATACAGAAGTTCACCTCCCTAGAGACAATGTGTCTAGGCATCTAGATGCAGAAAAGCAGCAAAAGCAGGTGGATGATACCAGGACCAGCTGCAATGACTAA